TAGAGGAAGCTGGATGCAGCGCATGAACTAGTCACTTTACCTTCAATTATGTTCAATACCGTATATCTCGGCCTACAAGGCGACAGGGGTGTATAAGACAGCCCCAAAATTTCCATTTAAAAAGTAGCTTTTGACCCTATTCGCTGTATAAGACCGGTACTAAAATGTGACACTTACCATTGGGAGCTTACTGACCCATTAAGTCATACCTATATCCCATTGACCAGTGCTGTTTACATCCTTGGTTTTTAAATAAAACCAATTCACTCTAGTAATGGCATCAGCGTTACCGGTTGATGTAGTGTAAGCTACTAGTGACTCATAAAAGTTTGTTATTTAACTTGAACTAATGTCGATTAATAGAATACAATTGTTTTATTTACTTAAAATGGATTTGATTTATTTGTTTATTTATATCATACTGTAATATATTAAACACACTGGAAGTATTTTCTTTAATTTATAAGCTTGCTTCAGTGAGCTACAGTATTCTAATTCAATAGTGTTTCATTAGGTTGGTGAAAAAGATTACTGTATGTACTTACTACATACATTTATTACACAAATATATATATATATATATATATATATATATATATATATATATATATATATATATATATATATATATATATATATATATATATATATATATATACAATATTTTATAATTGCAGTCATGCTGAATATTCTATGTAAAAATATAAATTTTAAAATGAATTATTTCTAGTGTGTCGACTTCCTACAAGACGGGCTATAAATAGCAGTCTTATCTCCTGTTCTGAGAAGGTCTTGGTAAATAACTTTTGTTTGTTTATTTTCATTGTTTGTCAAATTTATCATGTTGTATCAAAGTAATATTACTAAAGTTTTGCAGCTACACAAACAGGAGATTCTACTGCCTGGGAAGATATTGGAAGCATTATGTACAGTATTGTCTAATGGTGAGCCTACTTCCATAGCATCGAAATTGTGACCAAGTCTTAGGTTGCTGTTTTATCTTTTCACCTCATTTACACACAATTGCAGGGTCTCAATTGTTTCTCTTACTATTGACAACACAACATACATATATTGTTTTTCATTCTTGATTTTTTTTCATTTGCTTTTATTTAAGGTTCTTTATTACTATTATTATCATTATCATTATTAATATTATTACATTATCTTCGTAAGGCCCCGGTGTCGGTCAGTGACTTGTGCCCGGTAGGCTAATCCCGTATTTTTTTTTTTTAGGAGTTCGGATTTGACGGTTAATCCAGTCGGTTAATCGAGGCTTTACTGTATATATATATATATATATGTATATATATATATATATATATATATATATATATATATATATATATATATATATATATATATATATATATATATATATATATATATATATATATATATATATATATATATATATATATACACACACAGTGATCCCTCGGTTAACGAGATTTCGGTTAACGATTTACCTTCCATAAGATTCTTAACTTCGGTTAACAAGCAATCAATTCAATTAACGAGTTTTTTACGAGCCGACTTCAACATGTTTTCACTTGCATTTGGCGGTCCACCAGCTGTAGTATTAGTCCGCCAATACAGTAATCGGTTTTAGGGCTTAAATTCCTTACTATTTTAGTAAATATCAAGAAGTTTATACTATTCAAAAATTTTAAAAGTTTAATATTAACTTTTTTAGTCATTTTAACAATTATTGAACATAATTGAAGGTAAAGAAACTAGTTTCTGGCGTGCCATCCAGCCTGTTAACACACCAGACAGGCGTTAGTCTCTCTCTGTTTTCAGTGGAGGTAACATCTTGCTTGAGACTCTCTTCAACTAAACGCTTTTTTCTGTTTCCAAGCAAATTATTGGTCATTTTGAAATTTATTTTACATATTGACAATATATAATGCAGTGCAGTGTTGATTTAAAGAAAATAATCTTGAATTACACCAAGAGAACTAAAATTTTATAGGTGAAATGGTGCCATGGGTGACTTCTCTTCCACCCCAATGCCTTCTCTTCTTCCTTCTCCTCCACCCCCATTCTAATTCTCATCATCATCATTATCCAGGAGCCTTCTACATACACACCTCATAGTAAGTGTACTTTTCTACCTTTTTTGTTGAATTTAGGCAATTTTCAGTGAGCTGGAACCAATTACCCAAAAACCCATTGAAACAATGGTTTCGGTTAACGAGTTTTTCGGTTAACGAGCAACCTGCTGGAACGAATTGTGCTCGTTAACCGAGGGACCACTGTATGTATATATGTGTGTATATATATATATACTATATATATATATATATATATATATATATATATATATATATATATATATATATATATATATATATATATATATATATATATATATATATATATATATATATATATATATATATATATGTACACCTAAACCCCGACTTACGACGGGGTTAGGGACCCAAATCCAGGTCGTAAGTCCGATATAGATAAAAAAAAAAAAATCTACAATGAAATACAGTACAGTAAAAGTAATGAATAATGATGAATGGATACAGTACAGTGAAAGTAATAAATAATAAGGAATGGATACAGTGTGACTGAGCACTTAACCTTTAATGTAGTCAGCTGAATGCACATGGGGCCCCCATAATTTTCTAATTATACATGGAGACTACATTAACTGGAAACTTTTTGGTATAGAAAATGCGTGTGTCATTTTGAAAGAAAAAAAAAATTCTGCGGCGGTCGTAAGTCCCGACGGTCGTAAGTCGGGGTCTAGGTGTGTGTGTGTATATATATATATATATATATATATATATATATATATATATATATATATATATATATATATATATATATATATATATATATATATATATATATATAATAATAATAATAATAATAATAATAATAATAATAATAATATCCACGTAAATAATTTTGAAAAAAATAATTCAGTTACAGCATCACAATATTTTTTAAATATCTTCTTGATTCACAAGCACCTGATAATGGATTTATCTTGTTCTCTTTAAAGGATAAAGAGGCTAATGATTATCCTAATCATATTTACATGAGAACATATTCTATTGAGCAATGAAAAGTACCAGGACATCGTACAACCAACAGCAGTCAAAATTCTTGGTATTACAACTTGGCCTTTGGTAGAAAGTCAGTCTTCATCTTTCTCTGGAGATTTGTACATCCAAGAATATGCAGGTAACTTATCGTGATCTGTCCAGAGAAGGGAAAAATTGAGTTTGAAAAACTTCACTACTTATGCAGGATTACTGTACAAGGCAAATTTCATATACAGCATTCAATGATTTACAGGTTTATAATGCTGCAAAATAATTAATGTGGTATGTACAGAAATTGGAAAGAGCATAGATATTATGTGAAACAATACTACATGCTGCTGGGCCAAGAATTCAGCCATTAATTACAGCATTTTACCATAATTAGGTCCTGCTTGAAACAAATTAACAAGAATTTCATTTATTAAAAAATAAGTTAAAATACTTCGATTCAATTTAAAGAGTGAAGAGATATTACAAATCCTGGTCATCAGATTACAGTAATGAGAATGTGAAACTACTATCGAATAATTATGTAGAGATAATGGTACAGATACTGGTAGGTAAGAGGCACAGGGGAAGAGACAGAATGAGATGAATGAATAGTATAAAAAGCTGAACGTCATATACAAAACCTGGGAGGATTAATGCACAGTCCAAACACATTTGGAGGGGAGGGCCATGACTGTCACCCTCAGACATAAGAATTAAACCTTGATTGATTAATGGTAAAACACTCTAAAGCACACCACACTGCCTTGCTAACTATGTATCTGTATCTATTTCCAATACTGTAAAAGAAAAAGACAATTTGGTAAAGATATCTGACATTGTTTCATGTATAAATACACTCACCTAAATTCAGTTAAATCAGTTCATAGTTGTCATCAGTGAATGCAGAAGAGACTATAATAACTTAAAGTGAATACATATTGGCAATCGAGCTGGTAAGGACAACTGCCAGCCTATTCGTGTCATAGGTGCCACAGAGACTTTAAATTTTATTTTGTTTGTGTGCTTTCTCAAGGACTGAATCTGTGTTTATAATACACCACCCACAGGGAGATACAGTGTACACAGTGATAGTTCATAGTGTCATCAGTGACCGCTGAAGTTGTAAATAACTTAAAGTGAGCGCTCACTAGCAAGCAAGCTGGAAAGGCACCGTGCCAGCTGAAACCAAGTCGTGTCATAGGTGCCACAGAGACTTTAAATTTTATTTTATGTTGATTGTGTGCTTGCTCAAGGACTGAAACTGTGCCTACAATACACCATTCACAGGGAGATACAGTGTACGCAGTCGCAGACGACAACTCCATAGGCAACAGAGAGTAGCTAAGTACTTTTTTCTCTCTTTATTTTCTTTGAAATAGGTGTAGATCTATACACAGTCTGCACCCCCCCCCCCCAACAACAACAACCATGAGTTTGGTATGTGATTACTGCAGGGAGACGTCGGATATGGAGGATGCAGGCCTAACTAATGCAACGTCTAGGAAGTTACTAACTGCCGTAAAGCTTGATGGCTGTTGCTGGTATTGCCCTGGCTGCATAGTCAAGGTGAATGAAGCGATTGCAATCCATAAGGGAACGAGTTCTCTAGGGACGAAAATAGATGAAGCAGGAGCCATGCTGGTTGACAAACTGGAGCAAGTTGAGAAAGAGATCCTTGCTAAGACTGAGGAAGTAGCTAATAGAATGGAGGTGGTTGCTAAGAGGAGCTATGCGGACGTATTAGGAGGGCCACGGGTGGGGGGGGCGGAGAGTAATGCAGAATCAGTACAGGTTCTACAGCAGATTGGGACTCTGAAAAAGTGTGTCGAAGAAATGAAAATTAACGGACCTACTGTTAGGGGAGAGGAGGAACACCAGGAACGGCTCCAGCGCAGGAACAATGTAATAGTTTTTGGAGTCACCGAGAGCCAGGCAGAGGGAACTGTGAGTAAGGAAACACACGACAAGGTGCTGTTTCAAAATATTTGCACAGAGGTTCTGAAGATTCCAGCAACCCCTCAGGATGTGAGGAGACTGGGACAAAAGCAGGGGGTTAAGCCTCGCCCCCTCAGGATCACACTAGGGAGTGAGGAGGAAAAATGGCAAGTTATCCGGCAGGCAAAAAACTTAGCAAGGAGCGAGGCATTTCGAGATGTATTTATTCACCCAGACCACACGGTAATGCAGAGGGAACAGCACAAGAAGCTCCTGCTGGACTTGAAGCAGAAGAGGGAGGAGTCGAGAAGGAACGGGGACAGGTGCACATGGGTTATACTCAGGGGGAGGGTAGTGGAAACAAGTGTGCCGACACAGGGCCAGGGGGCAGCAGTGCACCCTCCACCCACTCAACCCCCCACCCGGGAGGCGGCACCGGCTCAGCCTACCGGACAGGAGGGAACGAGCGCCGTGTAAACAATGAAATTTTTAACCACACCCTGCAAAATACAGTGTACTTAGCAAATGCTGCAGCTTCTGAGAATGTGGGTGGAGCGGGTTTATTACTAAGAGCAGAGACGTTACCGAGAACAAATTCTGACTTGAATGTCATGTACACTAATACCGACACGTTCCTTGATAAGAGGGAGGAGTTTGAAACACTACTAAGAGTACACCAACCAGATATTGTAGGAGTTGTAGAACTGTTGTACAAGAACAGGAGAATCGACCCAGGGGAATGTGAGTTCAGTATTGCTGGATATGACTCATTTACGAACCTAACTCAAGAATCCTGCAGGAGGGGTGTGGTTATCTACGCTAGGCAAGACCTTAGAGCCAGCCAGGCGAGGGTACAGGGAGAGGATGTCTTTGAAGAGTCCAAGTGGTGTAAAATTAAATTAAAGGGAGGGGACTTACTTATCGTCGGGTGTATCTACAGATCCCCGAACTGTGGCCCACTAAATCAAAGGAACTTAAGAACCTTAATAAACAATGCGGCGATGCTCAACCCCAGCCACCTCCTTATCATGGGGGACTTTAACTATGGCGACATCGACTGAAGAAACGAGTCAACCCCGAATGACTTGAATAATCCTGCTACTCTTTTTGTAGAAACTCTGAGAGATAATTTTCTGTTCCAACATGTGAGAGACCCGACACATTACAGAGGGGAGCAAACACCCAAGCCGCTTGACCTCATCATAACAAACGAGGAGGGTATGGTGGCCAAACTGGAACACCTTGCCCCAGTTGGCACCAGTCACCATACAGTGTTGTCATTCAGATTTAACTGTTACCTAGTTCAAGATAAGGCCAGGCCAAGGTGCAAATATTACAAGGAAAATTACAATGGGATGAGGGAAGAGATGAGGGGTATCAACTGGCCTGACTTATTAAGGTACAAGAACGCAGACACTACGCTGAATATCATAACTAGTAAAATGACCCATTTGATCGATAAATATATACCCAAGACCAAACCCAGTGCTTCTAAGAATACTAGGGGATCCCTACACATGAACCATGCGGCGGTCGACAAAATTAAGAAGAAAACCCAGAAATTCAAGACGTGGGTTGGGTCAAACGATGAGCAAGACAGGAGGATGTATACAAGAGCCAGAAACCAAGCAAAGGTAAAGTGTAGAAGGGCTGAAAAGGAGTTCCAGATGCTGGTTGCACGCGAGGTCAAGTCAAACCCAAAGGCGTTTTACCGCTATGCAAAGTCGAAATTGAAAACGCGAGTAGGAGTATCAGACCTGAGGCTTGAAGATGGTAGTTACACAGATTCTGACCAGGATAAAGCTGAGGCATTGAACAGCTTCTTTTCCTCAGTGTTCACAAGAGAGGATGCAACTAACCTTCCTGCGTTTGAGGACAGACGGTTCGACACAGCACTGACCCACATTGTGTTCACAGAAGAGGGTATTAGAAATAAACTGTCCAGGCTAAAGGTCCATAAGAGTCCTGGACCTGACATGGTGCATCCTAGAGTGCTAAGGGAGCTGTGCAACGAGCTTGCAGAGCCCCTGAAGATTCTGTTTTGTAAATGCCTGGATGAACAAATGGTCCCCAGTGAATGGAAAGTGGCTTATGTGAGTCCTATCTTCAAGAAGGGCGATAGGCACTCCACGAACAACTATAGACCGGTGAGCCTGACCAGCATAATATGTAAAGTACTTGAGAGTATTATCAGAGATGCAGCGATGGAACATCTACTACGAAACAACCTTGTAAAAGATTGCCAACACGGTTTTATGCCGGGGCGCTCTTGCTTAACACAATTGCTCAAGGTATTGGATATTTGGACCCATATTCTAGAACGGGGTGGTAATATCGACAATATTTACCTAGATTTTGCCAAGGCTTTCGACAGTGTACCCCACGAAAGGCTGAAAATCAAACTGGAAGGGTACGGAATTCGGGGAAATGTCCTAGCGTGGATAGAAGACTTTCTACATGACCGCAAGCAATGTGTGGTGATTAATGGCACGAAATCGTCATCTGTACCTGTAACAAGTGGGGTACCGCAGGGTAGTGTATTGGGCCCGCTGTTGTTTGTTTGTTTCATAAATGATATGCCTGACGTTGTACACTCCTCCATACAAATGTTTGCCGATGACGCCAAGTTATTTCGGGAAATTAAGAACCAAGCGGACTGTGAAGAGCTGCAGAAGGACCTCTGTGGGCTCCAGGAATGGTCGAAGGAATGGCTGCTGAGATTCAATGTCACGAAGTGTAAGAGGATGCACCTGGGGCGTACCAACGGTAAGGAGGCGTACCATATGTCCCAACGGGATGAAGAAAATGTACTAGTTGAGACTGTGTGTGAGAAGGACCTAGGTGTGTATGTTGACAATGAGCTGAAGTTCTCGGGCCATTGTGAGAAGAAGGTAAATCAGGCAAATAAATTATTGGGTCTTATAAGAAGGTCGTTCAGATATCTAGACGGTCCGTCCCTCGTGACGATCTTCAGGAGTGAAGTGCTTCCCCATCTGGAGTACTGTCACCCCATCTGGTCCCCGAGATATGCTAGGGACTGTCAGTTGGTTGAAAATGTTCAAAGGAGGGCCACCAAGCTGGTGCCTGCACTTCGGCATCTCAGCTACCCTGCGAGATTGGAGCGCCTGAACTTGCCTAGCTTATACTACAGACGGGCAAGGGGGGACCTAGTTGAGGTTTATAAGCATCTCAGGGGGCACTACTCAGTTGAGTGTCCTTACTTGGAGC